AAAAAAAAAAAAAAACAAAAAGAAAAAAAAAAAACCAAAAAGGAAGAAAAACCAACCAATAAAATAAAATAAAAAAAGATAATGTGTGAAATGATCCTTGACCCACAAATTTCAGCAGAAGTCCCCAGGTCCTGCGTTTAGTCCACGGTGCGTGTTAATGTGTGTCAAGACATCCAGAACGTCACAGCGTGTCTCCAACTGTGCAAAGGTCCGAGTCACTAATTTAGTGCAAAGGCAGTTCAGGTTCTTTTTTATTTTTTTCCTTTTTTTTTTGTTAAAAAAAATAAGCCATCCTTTCTCTTTTCCCCAAAAGGAGGCACAGAAACCCAATACCAGTCCGCCTGCTGAGTGCATCAGTTGTCCGTAAGCTAAAGCAATATGTAAACATACAGGGCAGCAGAACCGCTCCCCAGCAACAGTTTGATCGAGGCCGGTTAGGGCAGGAGGCTGGTAGTCTGGCAGCATTTTCTTGCTTCATTACTTTCTCTCTCTCTCTCTCTTTTTATTTATTTTTATTTTAATTTTTTTGTGGTTTTTGTGGGCTTTTTTTTTTTTTGCTGCAGGGCCTTGGAAAAAAAAAACAACAACTAAAAATAAAGTCAGTAAGCAGTAAACAGCTCATACCGACGCGATGACAATCATCAGGTGAGGAGAGATGTTGGAGATGCTGGCGAGGAGGTCCGGGGCTAGGCGGGACAGGTGGCTTTCTGAAAATTCGCAGGGTGGGAAGATCTGCAGAACATAGGCAGGCTGCGAGGGAGAAGAAAAACACAAATGAGACAAACTGGGGTGAGGCCTGGCCTAAAATTTTTTTAAAACGGGACATTCAGAGGATTTTTTTGGTGCTTAAAGGCTCATACATGCTTTGTTTAAAAAAGGTTGTTCAGCAGCCTCAGGTGCGGTTCCCAGGGTGGGGAGTTTTTCCACACCAGAGACTAAGAGCTGGCTGGTTTTACTGCAGAAGACAAAACAATTCCCATTAATGATCATTTCGTTGCTCCGAGTGCTGACTGCTCATCCTGGGCTGTTTGTACCCAGGGAACAGATCAAACTAGATTCGAGGCAGCAACGCATCAGGAATAAATGGTCTGCATCACCAAACCCAAGTGAAAGATAACACCTGGAAAAATCAGGGTATGATACAATGACTCTACTTCCAGCACAGCAAAAAGAGCTGGAAAATGGGTTTGGTTTGTTTTCAGCCAAAGATGTTGGGCTGTGAGCAAACCCAGCATACATTTGTTTTGGTTTTTTGGCTTTGCAGTTCATCTTCATTTGATTATATTAACTATACTGGTGTGTTTTGATTGGTAAGATCAAAACAGTAAACGTGAGGGGTTTAGTACAAAACCAGGCAGCTCAACTACAATCTCAAGCCAAGACGTGGCAGGGAAGGCTGTACTGTCCCACCACTGATCGATTCTGTTTCTCTATGGTGTTTGAGGGTGCCAATACCTGATTAGAGCCAGGGTTGGGAACGTTGATGATCCCTGCAGCTTGCTTAGCCTGCAGGTAGCTGATGAACGCAGCCTTCAGCGACTCCGTCTGATTCACTACGTCTTCCTGGTCTCGGCCACAGGGCAAGGCCAGCAGTAGGCAGTAATCGCTCTCCACCTGGAAAGAAAATACAGTAATTAAGTCAAATGTTTGCTGGGAACAGGCCCATTCCTGACACACATTATCTGCAGTGGAAAATCCTCTCTTTGAACTCCTTCGAAGTTACAAAAGACTTGCTGAAAGCTCAGCCGGCCTAGGAGGTGGTGAGGAGGACTGAAAACTGATTTCCACGGCCACCTGAATTCCACCTTCTACCCTACTAAGACGTGTTGGAGCCAGCAGGAATTTGTTCCAGGGCTGAGGGACAGGCGGCTTCAAAGCTTTCCCAACTCTGCCATTCCCTTTCCTATGAGTGCAGAGCAATACCCAGTGCTCCCCACTGGCCATCTGTACTTCACACTCCCTGGGATGAAGGAATCACACAGATGCTACCAGAATCCTGAAATAATGTGACACAAGCAACGAGAGCCGAGGTTTCTGGGAGAAGTGGTGGGATTAATAAATAAATCTTATATATATATGTAATATGTATAAACCCTGTGAGGAGCCAGTGAAGGAGCTGGGAGTGTTCAGTGTGAGGAGGAGGAGGCTGAGGGGAGACCTCATCCCTCTCTGCAGCTCCCGACAGGACATTGCAGAGAGGTTGGGGCTGGGCTCTTCCCACGGGGAATTAGTGACAGAACAAGGGGGAACGGCTTGAAGCTGTGACAGGGGAGGGTCAGACTGGGCATGAAAAAATGTTTCATAGAAAGAGCGGTCAGAGGGTAGAATAGGCTGCCCAGGGAGGGGTGGAGTCCCCATCCCTGGGTGTGTTTAAGGGCCGTTGGGATGAGCTGTGGGGGGATGTGGGGTAGGGGAGAACTTTGTCGTGTCGGGCTGTGGGTTGGACTCGATGATCCCGAGGGGCTTTTCCAACCTCAATGATTCTGTGATTATCTGTTACACGGCTGGTGTGAACAGCCCAGCTTTCAGCACACAGATATTAGCTCTTCCCAAACACACCCTCAGCCCGTCCCCAGCCCTCACCATCATCCTACGTGCGACGCCCTCCAGCTGCGACGCCTCCAGCCGCATGCGCTGAGCGATCCGCAGCGGGGGGCCTCCCTCGGGCGCTGGCAGCGACCGGTGCGCCAAGACGTTGTTACCGGAGACAAAGTGGAGCTGAACAGCGGCTGTGTCGTTTTTTAGAGCCAAAAGGCCCTGCCAGACAATCGGGTATTTCTGGAAAGAGAGGGAGAATAAATATTAAATGCAAATGAAGGAGAGGGGGATCTTAAATCCCATCCAAGCTGCTTCTTTGCCTCCGATACCTCCCAGGTTAATTAAGAGACCACTACTTTGCTGTAAGGACTCAGTACAGATATAACATCTTATCCCCCCTTGTATGTGTCGGTTCAGGCTCGGGTTAGCTCCTGCTACATCAGTAACTCAGTCCTTTTTCTTGCACTTAAGGTGCCTGGATGGCTCCCTTCATCATAACATCAGAGCACTTCCCAATCTTTCAGCTTCCCACACAGCACGAGGCAGATCGGGGCTGTTACCAAACGTTATTTTCTCTTTTACAAATGGGGGAATTGAGAAACAGCAGCAGCAGAGGAGTTGCTGAAGGTTATACGGGAAATACTAAGTGCTGAATGCAACTCCGGGTTCCTCACTGGTGCCTGTTCCTCACTATCTCTCTCCTCTTCTTCAGTCTCTAGGCTCTGGGAGAGTGTTTTTCTTTTTCTTTATATTAAATACACCACCTGACCATGAAGAAAACCTTCTCAAGAAACAGCTGACTGTACAAATGATGCAGCACTGCCTGCTTGAGCTTGCAGGCTGTTGAAACAAGAAATGAGAGGAGCAGGGGCTGCTCTGCATGAACAGTACCTTACTGCGAGCCTCTAGGAAATGTGTGGGGTAAATGTGAACACGGCTAAAATTCACCGGGGACAGAAACCAGCCCAGAAAGCAGATAGACAGTCGACTGCCTTCACATCTGAAACATCTGATGCAAGAGAGGGCAAGTTTTGGTGCCAGGTGAGATGAGGTTATGCAGAACCTGATTATTTCTGCCCAGACCAGGAGCACAAGGCTGCTCGGCCGGAAGGAGATGGCAGAGTGATACTCACCGTCAGAAGCTGAACCATATCCACAGGTCTCTGCGAAACGGGGTGAGGAGACGGCTCTTGTTTGAGAGCAGACTGGGGCTCAGGGCGATTGAGGGGCAGCCCTGGCGGGGCCCCGGCCCCCGACGTCGTGGGGATAAACATGGATTGTTTGGGGACCGCCTGAGGTTGGTGTGGTGACGGAAGCTCCTGTTTCATCGAAATGGCAACGGGTGAAGGGTAGGAGGTCTGGCCTGTGTCCGCTTGCGCCCTCTGAAGGTGGACGTGAGGGTCGATCTGTGCCGCATGCCTATTTACAGGGGGGTGGTGACTCTGTTCGGGTCCTGCTGCTGGCGGGCCCTTGGGATCCTGGGGGATTTGAGGGGTCTTGCTGCGCACTGGCTGGCTGGGGTGTGAGTGCTCGCCCTCTGGTAGACCCTGGGACGCAGGCAGCAGGGGAAAAAGGAAAGATTTTTTAGGCTGTGGGCACACCAGAGCTCATTAATTCAACAACAAGGCTGCCATGGTTGCTGGCAGAGAAAGGGGAATCTCCACATCACGGCACCAGCCATGATGGTGCCCCCCTTCCAATGCCACGCCACCAGCCTCTTGCACCCGAGGGTTGAAACCACATTCCCCGAATCCTGCCCTCCGAGGATGTCTGACCTATGTGCCACCTTGATGCTGATAGTTCTGCCCCCTGACACCTCTATGTCTAGAAACCTGTAGGCAGCTTCACACCTTCTGGTTTGAGACCTAGAGTAGTTAAAAAAAATTAGTTATTTTAGCTTCCTCTAATGCTGAGCATGTTCAAACTCTGTTTCCCAAACTAAAATAGCTCTTCTTGTGCTATGAACTTAAGTAGGGTTTGGAGACTAACCACGGAGAGCTAAACTCTGGTCCTGTGGCCACGCAAAGCTGCACTGGGGCTGTAATTAGCTCGAAGCGCTCCAGATTTCAGGTAGAAGGAGAAGAAATGGGTTTATTTCTCACCTGGGATGGGGTCATGCTGCGAGAAGGCAGCCCGATCGGCGAGGCACCCGGGAACTGAGGATGCCCGAGCTGTGCTGCCGTGTGGTAATT